CTATAAGGCCAGCAGACCATATTTGATACCAAAATGAGACCAAAAAATTGCAAGAAAACTAGAGACAAATATTCATTATGAACATAGATGCAAAATTCTAAATAAAATTTTATTAAGTCAAATCCAACAGTATATTAAAAAGATAATATGCTATGACCAAGTGAGGTTTATCTGGGAAATGTAGGGTTGGTTTAACATTGGAAAACCAATTGATGTAATTCATCATATTAAACTAAAAAAATGGTTCATCTCAAAAGATGCAGAAAAAGCACCTGACAAATCTAACATCCTTCTCTCATAAAAACTCAGTAACTAAAAATAGTAGGGAACTTCCTCAACCTGACAAAAGGCATCTATGAAAAACATATAGCTACATACATGCAAACACACATACATACAGATATACATACATACACATACATAAATAACGGTGACAGACTACTTTCCACCTAAGATTGGGAACAAAGCAGATGTCCATTCTCTCCGCTATTATTCAACATTGTACTGGAAGGTCTAGCTAGTACAATCAGGCAAGAAAAATAAATAAAAGACATCGCATTCGAGTGCCAGGTTTATATCCTAAACAAACTCTTGTACCTATTCAAATCAGGAGAGACAAACAAGACTGTGATTAGCAGCTTTGCTTATCATAGCAAAAATGAAATACAATGAACTAAAGCTAAATATAGCCAACAGAAAAACCTTAGAAACATAATGCTGAATTTTAAAACAACTTTTTAGAAGCCTACTATATATAAAAATAGCATAATTTTTATAAAGTTAAACACAAGCACAACTAAACAACATGTTTAATATTATACAATTTGTGATCATTTATTTTTTAAAGAGCAAGGTCATGATAAACACAAACCTCAACTTATTACCTTTAGAGGGCAGCAGTCAGGGGTATGATACGGGGAAGGAAGATGGTGGTGGCCATCAATGGTATTTTAATGTTCTAAGTTCATAGGTTCACAAGTGTACATTGATTATTATGTTTCCTAATTTTTATTTTGTTATATTTCCTTTTCTAAGTATCATCCAGAACATAATAACTTAAAAATATTTTTCAAACCGGTCAAATATTTAGTGTAAACAATGAACCATAAAAGTACTAGAAGAAACCACAGAATACATTTTTAAAAGTTATCTTGGCATAATAAAAACCCTTCTAAATATGATAAAAATCCAAAGTACTTAAAAGATTGAGGAATTGGGTAAATTTCACCATAAAAAAATTTAAAAACAACCAACTAGAAAAAATTTGTGCAACTCATGAAAAAGGGCTAATTTCCTTAATATAGACTTCTACAAGTCAGTAACAAAAGCCAGTCCCTTATAGAAAAGTAAACAAAAATAAACAAAGAACTTTTCAGTTCACAGAAAAGAAAATGCAAATAGACTTTAAATACATGAAGGCGTGCTCAACCTCAGAGTCAGAGACATGGAATTCACTAGGATATCACAGTTGGCTTAAACGATGAAGAAAGGTAAAAAAATGATGGCAGCCACTGCTTGTTGCAGTCATTTCTCAACCCTGAGCTCAATGTCTTCATTCCTTGAAGGCTTTATTCCTGGATCACTATATATGCTCTTAAAGATTGGTCCTGTCATAATTCTTGGTGATTTCAATATCAATATAGATGTATAATTCTCCCAACCCATTCTCTTCTCCATTCCTTGAGCATCTCTCCTGCAACGTCCCTGTCTCCAGCCTCCCTAGGTCACACCTTACCAATAAATGCAATCCCCAAGTGATCCTACCTACAGGCAGCCCACTCTCTAGCTCCCCTCTAGTACCTCAACTCCAGTAATTCTTTGGCTCCATCAGAACCCATGTTCCATCTATCCTGCTTTCTCTTCACTCTCCACACTCCTCTCTTTGCTCAGCTTCAATTTCTTGTTCCATTTCTGTAAATACCCCTTGCATACATTTTCACTCTCTTGCCCTCTCATGTTTCCTTGTACCTGCATCTGTGCAGCTCTGTGTGGCTGGAGAAAATTCTCACTTTAAATGTATGACTGCAAGCCTCAGCTGAGGATGCGGAAGGAAAGGGAGACCTTAGGGCTTCAGATAGTTGTCCAGGGGAGTGAATGGACCATGGAAATGTTGTGTGGTTGCCAAGCAACACTAAGGAGCCACCCATGCCCTTTGCCAACTAAAGGACACGCTTTAGCAATTCTCCCTTCTATCTCTTGCATCATCACTTTTCCCTTTTCTACTGAGTTTTTCTCATCAGAGTATGAACAAGCTATATACTTTTTCTTGGCCCGACATTGTACTCCAGCCACCACCTGTTTCTTTGTTCCCTTTATAGCAAAAGTCAAAGGAATTCCTTTAGCCATTGTCTCTAATCTCTCTTATCCCATTCTCTCTTAAACCTACCCGTCAGACTTCTAATCGCCACTCCATTGAAATAGCTCTTGTTGATGTCACCAGATGTCCCCCACATTGCTAAATCCAATGGTCAACCCTTAGTCTTTTTATCATATCCACAAGCAGCATGCAATACAGTTGACCACTGCTTCCTTTTTGGGATATTTCCTTAGCTAGGCCACCAGGACACACCACTCCTGATTTCCCTCTGACTTCACTGGCTGCTCCTTACCATGTTTCTTTGCTCCTTCCACATCTCTATGACCCCCAAACACTGGACACCCCAGGATTATGTTCTTGAACCTGTTCCATTTTCTATCAACACTCATTCCCTCCATGATTCTAATCATTCACATGTCTACTGCAGCCTGGATCTTTCCTTTGAGAGCCAGTTTTTAGAGACTTTTCAACATTCCCATCTTAAACAGAACACGTCCAAAAACCAAAGTGATATTCTCTGACCTCTCCTTTTTCTCCTTAGCTGTTATTGCCACCTAGCATGCTATACGTTTTATCCACTCAGTTCATGTCTACCTCCCCTACTAGATTGTAAGCCCACGAGCGCAAAGCTTTTGTCTATTTTGGTCACTGCTTAATCCACAGCACATAGAAGAGGTCCTGGCACAGAGCAGATGTTAAAAAATTATTTGTCAAATGATAAACAACATACATAATTGGTCAGAGTGTGGGGAACGGGCACTCTCAAAATCGTTGGTATGATTGCCAATCAGTATAATCTCTACAGAGTGTAAACTAGCAATAACTATCAAAATTATAAATGCATGTGTCTTTTGACCCAGCAATTCTACTTCTAGTAATATCTTTCATAAAATTCATACATGTGCAAAATGACACATGGATGAGGTAATTCACTGCCACATACTTTATCCCTAAAAAAGAATGAAAACAGCCAAAATGTGCAATGATAGAGGCCATTAAAAGAAATTACAGTTTATCCATACAATGGAATATTTTACAGTAGCAAAAAAAGAATGAGTCTTCTCATGTCCTGACCTAAGCTCCCAGATGAACATACTAATGTGCCCACTTTTCAGAAAGGTACTGAAAGTACATTTAATATGCCAACTTTTTATAAAAATAAAGGGAAAAGTGCAAAAATAATGTATATCTTTGTTTTCTTTCTTCTTTTTTTATTCTCACCAAGGATATTTTTTTCCATTGCTTTCCAGAGAGAGTGGAAGGGAGAGAGAGAGAAACATCGATGTGAGAGAGACATCGATTGGTTGCCTCCTCCACAAGCCCAGATCAGGGCTGGGGATGGAGCCTGCAACTGAGGTCCGTGCCCTTGGCTGGAATCGAACCCGGGACCCTTCAGTCCACAGGCCGACACTCTAACCACTGAGCCAAACCGGCCAGGGCTACCTTTGTTTTCTTGTACAGGCACAGGCTATTCCAGGAAGGATACACAAGAAACTGCTAACAGTGATTGCTTATTTGGAGGGTGATGGATGGGTCAGAGGCAGAGGCGGGAGACTTTCCTGTAAACCCTTTTAAATTTGAAGATATGCACCTTGCAAATGTTTTATCTATTAAAAGAAGAACAAGGCAGGGCTATGTTCCAATATGGAATGACCGCTAAGATATAAAAGGTGCGGCAAAATTAGGTTTACAGTTGTTTCTATGGAAAATAATATGATAATTAATAAATAATACAAAAATAAACTTGTATTTCGTGTACTCACAACTGTAAACCTACTTTTTCCATACCCTGTGTGTGTGTGTGTCTGTGTGTGTGTGACAATTTTTTTTAAAAAGTCCAAGTACAAAAGAGTGTATGTAGTATGCTATACATAGCAGTGCGGACAGACTTACTTTTCATTATTTACTCTTGTACCTTTTGAATTTTGCACCTTATATATGTATTTCCTATTAAAAATAATTTTTAAAAATCATGGTGGGAGAATACACTTTAAAAAATATATTTTTCAATTGATATTTAGAGAGAGAGTAAGGGAGAGGGGGAGAGAGAGGGAAACATCGATGTGACAGCAAAACATTGATGGGCTGCCTCCTGCATGCTCCCTAACGGGGATCGAGCCCGCAACCCGGGCATGTGCTCTGACTGGGAATCGAACTCCTGCACAGGATGCTGCGCAACCAACTGAGCCACACTGGCCAAGGCGAGAATAAACTTTTATATCCATCACTTTGACAATCCTACGACTGAAACCTGTCTAGTATTTCTCCAGTTTTCAAATGAAGGAAAGGGACATTCGCAGAAGACAAGTCAAACAATACAGAGGTGGTACCCGGACTGGAACCCAGCTTGCCCTGCCCTGCCCGCTCATCCCTCCATTCTCCCAGCCTCTCTCTGGGGTAAGTGCACATCCGATCCCCATCCCCCATCTCCTGCTCTTCCCAGACTCCTGTCAGGGAACAAAGCTCCTAAGCCCAGCCCCAGAAGGTCTGCCACCAAGGCTTTGTTCAGGGGCCATGGCTGGCAGCTCCCTGGTATCTGACAGTTTTTTTCTAGTGTGTGCCACCAACATGGGGGTGGAAGTGGGGATGGGCAGAACTGTTCCTCCCTGGAGCCACCACCGTGCTCTGTGACGGCCCAGCCTGCCCGGGCCCTGCAGCTCCCAGGCCTCTCCCCAGCCTGTACCTGTCAATAATAACGGGGTCTGAGGGCGTCTCATTCCGGTTGCCACAGCTCTTCCGGTCACAGCACCGGCTGATGGAAAGACGAGGGGGGAGAGGAGAAAGGCAGTGAAGGAGAGGGAGATCACAGCATTTGTGTGTGTGTGTTGTGTGTGTGTGTGTCCCTATGGGGCGAGGATGCTCATGTCCAGTCTCTGGATATGGAATCCCTGGGCCAGAGGGGCTGGCTTTCAGGGGTCTGGGGGAGACGGACAGTGAGGATCCTGTCACAGGGACTTGGAGAGCCCAGCCCTGGTATCCGGTTGGCAGGGAAACCCTTGTCCCAAAGGCATGCTGCTCCTGGGGGATGCAGGAAAGGGCAGGCTGCTGGCCACCTCCAGGGCCTCTCACTCTGTATGTACTCCTTTTCCTCATACACAGACACGCTCAGATTGCAAGCATGCAGCTTATGAATCATGAGCGAAGCCACCCATGTAACCAGCATCCAGACAAGAAATACCATGTATGTGCCAAGAGCTCCGGAAGCCCCTCGAGCCCCCTCCTTGTCAGTCACTACTCTTCCCAGGGGTAGCCATCATCCCAACCAGATTTTTGAACACTGTAGTCTCTCTTCCACGTATGAGAAACTGAACGCTGTCTGACTGGCATCTCCTGGGGAGAACTTGCCCAGAAATGCCAAGCCCTGTGGTGATGGGGAAGGGGAGCCAAGAGCTGTGTTCCCCCCACTCCACGCTGCCCCACCCAGGAAATGCCCCAAGGGTCAAGTAGAAGGCGACAAAGTTTCCTCTCTCCTGCTCTGGAGGGAATCCAGGAGGCCCAGGCCCTGCCCCCACATCCCCAGAGGGCCCTCCCCTGAGCTTTATTAGTTAAGCTTCCCAGCAGTGGCAGGAGGCCTCTCTTACAAAAACACTTGGAGAAGCCACATAAACAGGCCAGGATAATGGGGCCTCAAGGACCCTCTCCTCAGCCAGCACTGTGCCCAGGGGCCTCCCTCTTCCCACATCGCCTTCCCCCACCAGGCTTTCCCAGGGAGCAGCAGGGAGAGTGGTGGTGGCAGGGCCTGGTGGGGAGTCCTTGGCAAAATCTTAGCCAAGGGTAAAGGTGCAAGTGACCCAGCCTTTCTCACCTGCACATGATCTCATGGGTGAGCAGCACTCGGCACATTTCTGGGTTCTTGTCCTGCCCCTCATAGATGATGGCCTGGGAGAGGGAGAAAGTGCACAGGCTCAAGTGGCAGTGGGCTCCTCTTATGTCCAAATACACGGGGAGAGATGGGACCATGCCCTCCAAGTCACTCTGAGGGGGCCTAAGAGTGCAAAGCAGGAGCTGAAGCCTGCCTCCCACATGAAGGGGACCATAGGGCTTCTAGAAAAAAAAAACACACCATTTCTTCCTCTATCCTGGGATTGGGTGGAGGCTGCTGGAAGACCCTGCCTGTGTGGGAAAGCCCGAGTCCCACCTTGCATTCAGGGCTACTGATCGGCCCATCTGAGCTCAGCTTCCTTTTTACCAGCTCTCACTTCTCTGCAAAACCCTGAGACTTGCAGCCCTGTCTCAGCAAGAGCCCATCAGGGCTCACTTAGGTATCAGTCTCCCTGAGCTCCTGAGGATGCTGGCCTCTGAGCCTCCTTCCCGTGAGCTTCCATATCAGCAGGGTGCTGAGGGGTTGCAGTAACCACCCTGGGGCCCCACCTCATCCCCTTTCTTGGACCAGTGCACCCACCTCCCTGCTACAGTTAATGTTGGCTGCTATGTGCTTTCTCTTCAGAGTGGCTCTCAGCGGATAGGCGCTGCCTTGCCTGAAAATGTCTGGAAGGATACAGGCTCCCCTTGGGAGTGTTCCCCAGCCAATTACTGACTCATATAGGGTAAAGGACCCTGGTCTCCATGCCTCAAGGGGGGACAGCTCTGTTGTCACTCCTTCTCCAGAGCTCCTTGTGGATTAGGCTGACACTGGACACCGGCTGAGACCCCATCCTTGCTGAGCACCCCTTGCCCTGGCCTGCTACCCTCCCTCCCTTCTCCTGAGAGTACCTGTCTGCCTCCCCAATAAACCCTGTGCACCTGAATCCCTGTGTCTAGCCTGGGCTTCTAGGGGACATGACCTAGGATGAAGTCTTTGTACAAATATTGCCTTTTTCTAGACTAGAGGGCAAGGGCACACAGGCTGGGGTAAGAACTGAGGGAGCCAGGCCAGCGGGGTTGACGGCACAGGGAGGTGGGGGCAGGGTGACCATGCTCGCCCACCCCACCAGGAGACAGGGGCCCGAGGGGCCAGCGCATCCCTGGGCTGGCTCACCTGCTTGGACATGGAGTCAATGAGCCGCACGTAGAGGTCCTGCTCTGTCCGAAGTCCTAAGGGTGGAAAGGTGGAGGGCTCGCTGTACTGGGAGCATCTGCGGCCTCTGATGGCTGGAGCACGCTCCACACTCTCCCCAGTGGAGGCAGGGGCCTCCTCGGCCCTGACATCGGGCTATTGTACCATGTGCAGTGGGCTTCACTCACCGTTGTTATACACCAGCCGGAGGCGGTAATGGATCCCGTTGTTCGTCTTTTCAGCCCCAGGTTCCTACAGGGCCAAGATGGGGAGGATGCTCCCAGGGACCCCCCCACCCAGCCGCCTCTC